TAGGACCAGCGCTTAATCAGAAACATCCTTTGAAGGGTTCTTGTCTTGAGCAGAAGTGGTCGCTTTCTGCACTGGGAGAGCCATTTGTGAAGGGACCGTCCGGGTCCTCGGTCAGCCTGGCCCTGCCGGGTGTCCTCACTCGGTTGGGTCCAGGGCATATAGGGGAAGAAATGTACAAGTGACCAGTCAGGTCAGCGCCCAGCCCGACACCAAGACCGAAGGAAAAAGCCTGCACAGCTGTCCTGTCTCGGGGAAGAGAGGGAGTGGGGGAGAGAAGCTGGGAGCTTAGCAATGCTAGTGTTCAGGAAAAACTCCGCACAGACTATGGCGTTCTGGGAGGCGGGAGGGAAAAGGCAAAGAAAAGATTGCTAATTGTCCTGGGCACGCACGGTTTGCATGGGTGTCCTGCTGGCTGCTGTGCTTTCCTGACAATGGCCCTTCGATCCTGCTCCTGCTTGAGGTTGGGTGTGGAGGGAGCGGACTCCCAGCTGGGTCCTGTGCTGGCTGCTGGCCGGGGAGGCCTCTGCCATCTGTAGCTGCCCACCCACCGGCGTGGACAATTTCCAGGGTCTTGACTTGTCAGAACGAAGACATAAACAAGCCACCTGACTTCCTTCTGAGTTTTGATTCTGCTGATTTTCCTAAATTGAGATGTGACTGGCCTGCTCAGTGCTGGGCAGAGGGTGTGGCGTCCACACATTGAGGCCAAAGTCAAGAGACTGAGGGGTCCTTCCAAGTGCAAGGTCACCTGACTGGACATTGCCCCTGAGCTCCCTGATGGGCGCTCTTCCTACGGTACTGTTGGCACAGTCCACTCAGCCATGCCACCCGTTCTGGATGGAGGTGGCTCCTTGTCACCGTGAGCAGAGAGAAGCTCAGGTGGAAATCACTGTTTTGTTCGACCTCCCCCTGCCCCAGCTGTAGCCTGCAGACCAGATGGGACTGGCCCTCTGCGTAGAGTGGCCCAGGCTGCTCATCCGACCGGGGGCACTCTCTGGGGTCAGGCTCTCCAGGGATTGCTCTTTCCCAGTGAGCGGGTGTGCCCCTGAGGGGTCTGAGCCTGTGAAGAGACAGGCCCTGGAGCTGCAGCAGGCCTGTCTCTGGGATGTGCCATCCCCGTCGTGACCGAAGGGAGCCCATGCAGTGAGAAACTGAGCAAGGACAGAAGGACAGTACTTGGCGCCCTTAGGCCCTCCTTCTGGGCATACCGAGCAGTGTCCCGCTAAGCCTAGACACGTGTCACAATGGCAGGCCTGCCTGGCCTTTGGGGAGGCCAGCTCAGTCCACTTACTCGACACAGAGCCCCATGCAGGCCTTTCCTTCCAGCTGGTCCCCGGTAACTCAGCGCCAACGAGTTGCTGGTGCTTTTAGGTCCGGCTCTTCATCCCTTTGCCCCTGCCTCTTCCTCTATGGCCCCTGGAGCCTGTCCACCCGCGTGGTCCCCCAGGGATCACGCTGGGCAATCAGGATGCATGATCTGACACAGCCACTGTCACCGTCACTTAGCTTATGCCCCGTCACCCCATCCCTCTTCCTCTCACTCACTCTCTCCCGTCTGTCTGGGCATGCGTGTGTTCCTTCAGAAAGACGGTAGGTCCCTTCGAGGGGAAGACTCTCTTTATACCAACTCCCGTTGTCTGGTACGCAGCTCATACGCCAGAGACGCTCCATAAATACTTGCTAAACAAATCAAATAAGAATCCCCAATTTCTCTGACAGATCACTCCGGACAAGTGGGAAGAAAATGAGTGAATTCTCTCTTCATCCCGTTGCTGGAGAATTCTCCGGCTGACTTCTCTTTCCCTTTCACGCGCCGCGCTTTCCTCTCTGTGTGCATTTAATGTCCATGCTGCAAATCAGAGCCCTGCAAAGCAGTCACTGGGCAGGACGCAGGTGGGGGTCTGGCCTCCCAGTGCTCCCTGTTGCTGTCGCTCCGGCTGACACACGTACAGGTCCCATCTGAGTTAAAGCCTGGGGTGGCTGTTGAATCTGCACCTCTGGCCAAGATGCCTCTTTCTCTAGGGAAATTGGGGGACCTCCTCATTCTGGTATTTGTAGTTGACTCAGGTAGCTAACAAATGGACTTCTTGAGCCGATGCTTGCATGACACGAAACACTGGACGCTGTTCTGGCCACTTTAACTCCATGGACCAGTTTCTCCTTGTAGCAACCTCACCAGGTTTGGAAGGACCCAAGGGTTACCATCAGTCTCATTTTATAGAGGAGGAAATGCGGACTCCCGTGGCTGAGGGACTTGCTCATGGTCACAGTGCCAGTGGTGGGGAGGCTGGACTGAAATAGGCAGGCTGGCTCCGGAGCCACGTCCCAACCACTGTGCTTGGCCACCTCTCCATGTGACCGGGGAGGCGTCGCACTGCACATCTGCGGCCTTTGGGTCACCTTCCTCACCACGGGAGCCTCTCCAGAGCAGGAAGTCCCTTTGACCTGACCTGCCCAGCGACATGGTGGCCTGTGCTAAGTGACTCTAGCCTCATTTCATCCCCCAAGGCTTGACTGTAGGTTTATTTACGTTATTCTACGCAATTAATCGTTCACATTGTAGTCGCGCCCATCCTAAAAGTTGGCTCTTCAAAATTCATTTTCGAATAACCTAGGAACCATGCCAAGAATTCACTCTAATTGCACATTATACTGTACCAGTCTTGAGTACTAGAGATGACTCAAAGGCAAAATGTATGTTTTTTGAAATCATTAAACGGATAGTAAGTGAGACGTGTTTTCTCCCGAGAGAGAGAGCGAAAGTGGCTTGTCTTTCTCTTGGTCACCCTTTCTAGGTGTCTGGGAGCATCCGGGACAGACCATCATGTCTGGACTTCTTCTTGAATTAAGTCACATTATTTTTAGCTGCTCATAAACCAGCACTTCCTGTTCAACAAGAAGAATCAGACTTCAGCTCTGCTCTGTGGGTTTACCTTCAATGCACAGAGCAGCATATTAAAAAAAAACACATCGAGGAGAGCTGTTTGAGGCAACGGTTATTCATAGGACAGTATTTGGGTACATTCTGGGGGCTGATTCTGGTGGCCTCAGAATAGTTCCAAATTGAATTCCAGGAATAAAGTGTTTATAAATAGTAAGCGTGCAGAATGAGCGCGTCCGTCCCAGGCTCTCAGTCCGTCACGTACCGCATGGGCTCTTTCTGCAGCTGCCAGTCCCTCGGTCAACGGCTTGGGCTGAGCTGGGGGTTCTCACCCTCAGTAGACCCAGCGCCCTGTGTTATAACAAATGCTTTTTTAACCCCTTGTATAACCCTTAAATGATGCTCATCAATGATAAAATCGATGTACAAAAGATGTTTCAAAATGAAGCATCGTGCCTAGTAAGAAAGTAATTTATGATGATTTAAGTGTTTTAATGTGCAAATATTCTGGAAGCATGAAAATCAGAGAAGCACAGGTAAGGGACATTGGCAAGCAACATGGAGGCACTGGCCTGTAATCAATGTAAAGGCAGTCGAGGCCGATGCCAAGTCCACGGTGGTGATCAAAGACCATGAGCAGTGCTGAAGGCAATGACACGCTTTCCCAGAATTATAAACAAATGGTAAAGCTTCTAGGTGACCATGTATGACCTTCCCCCAATTTATAGGGGAGCTCTGCACCCAGAAAGTTCAGCACTCGTTAAAGTGGCGTGAGCGGCTCTGCTCCTTTGAGAACGATGTCTGCAGCTGAGCCCAGATGCCGATCAGCAGGTTCTGGTCGCTGTGAAGGAGCAGCGGTCCGCTTGGAACTTTGCAGGACGTGGGAAAGGGGGTGTTTGCTGAGCCGCCCGGAGCACGGCTCCACTCCAGTCTCCCCAAACCTGCCAGCAGTGCCCTCAGTCACTGAATCATCATGTCGTTCAACTGCCGCAGTTTCCCAAACGCCTTCTAGTGGGTGACACCCCTGCACCCCACTGACAGTCGCTGGGTGAATGCCTAGTATCGGGCTTGGCCCCAGACAGTTATGTGGATTTATTCTCCTGACTCTTTATAGTCCTTGAAAACTAAAAACCAAAGGCTTGTCTGCAATAACACCTTCAACAACTGGGTCATCGGGTTAGTGTAACTGGTCATATGTGTGGTCTGTGTGTCCCTGAGAGCAAGGGCTCAGTTGTCCAGGGCTTACACGTCTAGTCCCGAACACAAGTCCGCGCTTTACGGAGTCTCTCTCGGATGAGTGTGTAATTGTGGGGTTGGACGCCTTGGTGAGTGAGAAGATAGATACTATTCGATAGCAATAGTTGTGTTTCAGGGATATCTAGCACCTACGTGCTTCCCAGGGAGACCGTAGTTAAGGATGATTTTTAAAATACCATTTCGTTGTTTCTCTTTGAATAACAAATGACAGTCCAGTTTTTGAGAACCTCTGGAACCAGAAGGCCCACGCTCTTCACGTCGTTCTGAAAAAGGGAACATGTGAAGGGCCCGTATGAGCCTTGGCCTTGGGCGCCAAGTTTTGCTTAATCTTCACCGTGGTCTCTGAGGCAGCCGTGATTAACCCTGTCCTCACGAGCGATGGCGTTCTACCCAACAAGACAAACCATCTGCCCAAAGTCAGACGGTTGGTTCAACAGCGGAACAACGTTTGAACTTGAACTGTCTGACTCCAGAGGCTTCACTTTCCCCAACAAATCCTGCTGCCCCTCTCTTAAGTGAGGCAGAGCTCAGTTTTCATTCAACCCACATCTGAAGGACCATGAATTACGGTGATGGGAGGTACACCTTAATACAGTCCTCAATATGCAGTTCCAGTCGTCAAGTCCATTAAATTTCCCTCTCCTCCCGGGTCAGTGGTTTCTACATTGATCCTGCTCTTGGTTGGGGTCCAGCATTAGGCTCTTGGGCAAACTGACATTAGTGAGGCTCTTAAAGACAGGGGCTCGGTCCTCCTTGTCTGTGGGTCTCTGGAACCCAGCATGGCGCCCAGCACAAAGTGGGCGCATGTTCGAGGAGTGTTCGTCGAGTCGACTTTAACGGAACGACGTTTCTGTCCTTTCAGGCCTTGGCCTTACACGATATTCCAGCGAGGCTTTGACCTGGTTTTGGGAGAACAGCCTTCTGATAAAATATTCAGGTGAGTGGCTTCTGTGTGTCCTCAAGGCCTACTACATCCCCGTGTCCCACAGGGTTTGCTTTCCTAGCAGTGAAGTAGAAGACGGTGAACGTGTCCGTGGGTCCTGTTGCCCTTCTAGGAACAAAGCGTTTGTCCCCGACTCCGCCACAGTCATGCCCAGTGACAGTGTGGAGGCCTTTGTAGTCACACAGATCCCGTCCAGGTCCTGGCCTCCTTTCGTGCCTGCTCTCTGAACCCCAGTCATTATTCACTTAACCTTTTGGTTCCTCCAGTTTCCACATCTGTTAAATGGGGCTGCATTCCCCGCCTGGCGCCGCTGTTATGGGGAAGTTAGGAGATGACGCAGGCAGAGCCCCTGTCACAGAAACTGTCACCCATCACACAGTCTGGCGTCCCTTTCTGCCTCTCTCTCCGCTGTGCATCTGCCTAATTCACACCTTCCTCAAGTCCTACGCTGCTCTGCTTGAAACGAATCTCTCCGCTCTGCCACCTCCCCCTCCTCCCAGCTCTACTTCATTAGTATTTTCTTTTATCTACCACCCTCCCGATTAAATTAGATGTTTCTATTCCCTCTCAAATTTCTACCGACCTACCCGGGAATAGCACGTATTAGAAGAGTCAACACGCAGAGGAAGGATTTGGATTCCAGCCATGCACTATTGGATTTTCATAAAGTTTAATTCACACCAGGCTTTAGCTGGAACCCATCTTTATTTCCAAGCTAAGATCTAATCATCCATTTATTTTGTTCATGTATCCCTCCCTGAACCTGCATTTGCTGAGGACCACTGGGTGCCAGGGACTGTGCTTGGCCTGGACGGTTGGATAGGAATCCATCTCCCTGCACGAGAGCGCCCTCTGGTGGAGGAAGTAAATAGTCCTGCGGGAGTGTCTGATGGCAGAGGACGTGCTGTCAACCCGGTGTTTCAGAGGAGTGGTCAACAGGCCAGGCCAAACTTGCACCCTTTCCCTGCATGCATACAGTGTGCTGAGTTCACATATTCACTGCTGCCTTTCCAGACCCTTCCCCCAGACCCTCCTGTCAGCTAGTCCTGGCCCAGGTGTCACTTTTGCTCCTGCATTTGCTCCCGGAGCTGGCTCCTTCCCTGCTGGCTGGGAATGGACTGGCCTTGGCCACCGCGGTGTTCTCCTAAGGCACGCTCTTAGCCAAAGCGCAGATTTACAGCATCACCGCCTCGCGGGGCCTCCCCTTCCCCTTCTCTCTCCTGATTGTCTCTCCCGGGGCAGGTTAAGTCACATTTATGGCATGGGCCACGGGCTGCTGTTGAGGATTTGTGCTACAAGAGAAGTCAGCTGTGTTCCTTAGACTCTGATGTGGGCATTTAAAGCTTCCAGCAATGATTTACTGTCTGGCTGACTCCCTCCCCATTTGTTTCACTGCTGGCCTGCCAGGACCTTGTGAGGGTGGTAAGGATTAGGCAGATGAGGACAGCCTGGGGCAGTGGGGCTGGTTACTGCCAATACCTTCCCGCTCCCCTAAAAGTCAGAAACTAACCCTCGAGACTTTCCCAAGGCTGCCGTGAGAGCAGGACTTGCACAGAAACTGGTTCTGTCCCCACAAGCACCGCCTACTCTCTTCAGGTTTGTTAGCTGCCAACCGGACGTGCCTCGGGAGGTCTCTCTGCAGAGGGGATCGGCCGGGTGGTTTGACCCAGGCAGGAAGCCCTCTCGGGAGCCAGTGTGCCAATCAATGAGTGATTAATCCTTTTGGTCGCTGGCAGGACAGTCACAAACCTCTCAGATGAAATCAATGGATTGTGATTTCCTGGTTTCAGGTATTAAGAACTTGAACCGAAACCACTCTGGGGTCTGAGCAAACCCAGTGCCAGTGGCCTGGAAAACCGTGTGCCCTGGTCAGTGAGGCAGGTCCTTAAAGAGGCCCCTGACTCTTCACTCGCTCTGTGCACCAGCGACTTCTGATGAATTCCAAGCCCGTGCATGCTTCCCTGGACCGCCGAATACCATTTAAAGTTTGACATTCAACTCTTCCCACAGCTGAATGCCAACACACAGCTCACTTTTAAAAGCCTGCTTTCTCCTGTAGAACCTTCAAGTTCTTAGCTCTGTCTTCTAACTGACCCACTGCACCCAGAAAGAGCACATTTTTTACTCTGTCTTTGCCCCTTACTCTTTCCTCCAGCCAGAATGCACGGTCTCTTCCTGGCACGAACACTGCCCGTTGCCATGGCGCAGACCATGTCCCAGCTAAACTCAACCTCTGCGGGGCATCTGCTGTTACAGGGCGCTGTTTCAGGTGCTGTAGCTGTGACCAAACAAATGTGACTGAGGTGTGGTCCCTGACTTCACAGGGGTCTCATCCAAGTGTTGTGTTACATCCTTCACCCTCCGTGGGAAGAATCCCCAGGGTGCTTTAACATGACCGGTGACCCTACCCAGCACGAACCGATTCATTCAAAACTTGCGGGAGGTGGGGACCAGGGCATGCGTGTCTTTTAAAAAGCACCACGTAATTCTAATCTGCACTCAGGGCGGGGAAACCCTACTCTTGAGCTTCTGTGACTCACAGTGGCTTTCCTCCTCGAAATGTCTGTAACATGCTGGCTGTAATGTTCACCTGTCAATTATTTTATTTCTTATTTATTTATTTACTTGTTCAATTACAGTCATCCTCATTTCCCCCTATTACTCTCTCCTGCCCTACCCAGCAGCCCCCCAACTCTCACATTCCACCCCCCCATTGTCTTTGTCCATGGGTCCTTTATACATGCTCCTTGACTTGAACCTTCTTCCCCTTCTTAAGTTGTGTATTTGTTTCTGCAGTGGAGTAGTGGCCTTATCGAGGGAAGGGGCAATATCGTATATGGCTTTGACTATTAAATATCTAACATGGAATTTTGAACATGGTAGGTCTTCCGCAAATATCCGTAGATGATCATTTCAGGTATCTCCTAAGGACTTGGACCCCGGTGAGGGAAAGACCTGCCACTCAGCCCAGCCTGGGTAATGTGCAGTCGCCAAGGACCTGGGAAGGGTCCAGGCTTAGTCCCGGAGGGTCCGAAGGGGAGAGTCTGAGCCTCCCCACCAAGCCGGGTCTGGTGCCCAAGACATTCTTTCCACGGCAGCTGAGCCCAGTCCATCCCATGGGACCTCCGGGGCAGGCATTCCTTCAGACCCCATTTCTCTCTCAGAAACCCTCCTCCCGAGGGCGTCCCTGCCTCCCGGGGACCAGTCCCTCCTTCTGGATGTCTGTGGGAGAGAGCGGGGGGCCAGGCCGTGAGCCATTTGTCCACTCCCTGCCCCGTCCACTGCACGCCCGGCCACAGCAGAGCACAGGCCTGTTGTGTCCACTGCCCCCTGGCCAGCATTTGCATCTCAACAGAAGTTTCCAGCTCTCATTTAACAAGGCCGTGTGCAGGGCTCGGCCCACCGCTGAGCCACCAACTGTGACAGTCCCCACCAGCTGTCGCGCGAGCAGGCCCAGCCTGGGAAGGCATTCCAGATGCTCGCCCGACTTCTCTTGGGTGGCTTTTCGAAGCTGTTCTTGCCAAATCAGCACGAATGAGGGACAGATGAGATTTCGGGACACAGTTTTCCTCTGACAGCTTGTGCTATATTTGGTTTTTGGAGTTACTAGATTTTGTGGATAAAAGGGAATTTTAGAATTTCATTGGCACGGGCCGGCATGGGCCAGAACGCTGCTGAGAGCCATGCTGGAGAGTCAAACCAACCCCCATCTTTCCCAGTTAAGGGAGGTGACCGCGGAGAGGCCTCTGAATGTCTCTGCCCACTAGGACACAGATGTCTAAAATGGGGCCGAATGACCAAACCCGGGGGGCTGTTGTGAGGGTAAAGGAAGCCGCCCCACAAAACACCTGCCCCTTGGAGAGTCCCCGGGAAAGGTGAGTCTCGGCCCACACCTGCCTCAGCGTTCCCTGCAGGGTTTCACCTTGACCCTGCCAGAGATGGAAGATGACACTGTCTTTCTGGTGAACCCGGGATGGTGTCATGATTCAGCAGCTGCTGTGCACTTTGGAAGTTCCTCCCAATGTCAAGCCCAGATCCACCTTGACCATGAAATCCATTCCAACCCTGAGGCTCACCTATATCTTGCTTTAAAGGAGGGACCGTTTCCGCCACTGCTTCTGCCTTTATGTTTGAAATCAGAGATCTGCCCCAGTAGCCTGGGCAAACTAAAGAACAATCTGCTTATTGATCAGTCCATAAATATTAATGAGTGGCCTCCTTGGGCCAGAAATTGTATCAGGACCATCTTGACCAGCACTTTACCTTTACATTTGAAATTTGAGATCTCCCCCAGTAGCCTGGACAAACTAAAGAGCAATCCATTTATTGATCAGTCCATAAATATTTATAGAGTGACCTCCTTGGGCCAGAAATTGTGTCAAAGCACTGTCCTCTGCCATCCAAGGTAGCACATTCTTCATGTGGTGGACACACGTGAAGACGGGCACAGTTCATGATCTCAGGTCAGCAGGGGACCGTGTGCTCATGCACAGAGGAGAGAGTCCCTTGCTCAGCATGAGGGTTGAGTATGAACATCCTGGAGGGCTTCCTGGAAGGGGCGGGACTTTAAAGGAGTCTTAAAATGAGTGGGACTCCAGCAAAGAAGACAGGGGAGACAATTCAGGAAGAAGAAACACTAGGAGCAAAAGCAAAGAGGTGAGAAATGAAGGCATCTTTAGGGACTAGAGTCAGATTCCACAGAGTGACATCTTTGGCACTGTGGTCATTGTTCTGTGGGCCCCGGGTGCCATTAACAGTTGGAGAAAGATGGAGCTTGCTTTTTCCTTGGAAACATTACTGCGTGCAGAGGCGGGAGGGAAATGGAGATGGATGGACATGGACTCTCTTTTTCCAAAAGAAAAATTCACCATCAGAAAGTGCTGGAACTGCCAAAATCTGTTCCCTAAAATCTGTTACGTAAATCCTAAGCTACAGGCCACAGACTGGCTGCTGCACCTCAGTGCAACACTTCTAATTTTAAACCCAAAAGAGAAAACAAAAACTCCGTGTCCCAATAAATGCTCCCCTCCCCGGTACCGTTCACACTTGGCCGAGTTCCCTCCGAAACAGTCCGTGATACAGCATCGGCGGGTCCGCCCACCCTGCCTGGGAGAATGTTGCCATCTCCAGAATGCTGGTCACAAAAGGCAACGTGACCACAGCAACTTGCAGTTGTTGACGCCAACCCACACTTACCCTCAGATTCCCAGGTTGCAGGCACCTCGGGCAGCGTCTTGCCCTGAATATGGGTTCCTTCATCTTGCCAGATGACCTGTGTGTTTGTGTAAAGGGGCTGCCAGGCTTTCCGTTGTGCCAGCTGTTTACACAAGAGTTTAGTGGTGGGTCCCCATCTACGGTTCCCTTAGCAACGGGCTTCCCTCGTCTGGTGCAGACCCCTCCCTGCACAAAGCTTGCCCACCTCTTGTCTCACACCCCTGTGGATGGGAGGAGTTGAGCGCCTCCTTCAGAGCTGCCTAATGCAGAGGTTTGCCCGGCAGGTCAGAGACTTCAGGGAGCCAGAGCAGGGTGTGAGTGGGGGAAATCTCCCAGACCCTGGCCACCTCCCTCCTGCTCGGTGGTTCTGCCTCCTCCGGGCACCTGTTCCCTCACATTGTCTGCGGCCAGCGTTCTAGAGAGGATGGCATTTCTCCTACAAGGCCACCCATCCAGCTTTCTGGCGTCTCGGGGAGCCCTGGGGAGCAGGGAGGGGTGACTGCGGTTTCTGGAGAGTAAGGACGGAAGCGGCCCTCCGAGACCAGCACGCCTGTGGAGCCCTTGGGGGGGGGCTCTGTTGAGTGGTGTGCACCTTCCTGGTGCCCTGCTCCCCCACCCCCCACCCAGTTGGAAGGGGCTGAGCTCGCCTGCCCCAGCCCCACGATGCACCCCAACACACACTGGCTGTTACCCGTGGACCAGCTTTGACTGTAAACACAGAGCACTTGAATACCTTTGAAGTGAAGTGAGAGAATAAATAAACAAATAATCTCTCAAGGTCTCTCTAAGCTCTCCCTTGAAATGCTGATTGATTCTTTTATTCCTTTTTAGCCCATGTTATGAGAATGAAAAAATACCCAAATCTTCCCTCCCTGAAGTTAAGGCAGTTCGCTGTGGGGGGTGGGGTGGGGGTGGAGGACGGAGATCACTCCTGGGCCTGTCTCCTTCTTTCCCTTCTCTCCTCCCTGGCTCGGGGCTTCAGAATTCCTGTTCCCACCGCTCAGAAGCCGGAAAAGCGGAGCTTTCCTCCTCCTCTCTCCTGGGCAGGGTTCCTCCAGGCACAGAGAAAAACCATCGCTACCACTGCGCACGTTCAGACCGAGGGCTGGGTTGGTGGGAGGCAGCCTCTTCAGTTAAAATGCTTCCCGTTATCTCCGACTGAAGGCAGGGGAAGCCCGGCTCCAGAACTGAAGGAATCTGGAACTCGATTTCGTGTAACTTGATACAAAACAAACCACTTCCAACAGCCGGTGCGTGGGTGCTGTGATCCGTTCCCCAGCTGTCTGGGTGTGCGAGCGGGGGGTGCCTCTCCGCCTCCCCCTCATGCCATGGTCTCACCCACAAAGCGGCCACTGGCCCTCCTTTCTGCAGAGGATGAGAAGGCTGAGAAGGCGCCAGGTCCCCCCGCGGGGCGGTTGTTGCCCGGCCCTAACCACCTGGCGTTGGGTGTCCCTGCAGATTCACCTACACCCTTGGGGAGGGCATGTGGCTGCCCCTCAGCAAGAGTTTTGTGATCCCGCCCGCCGAGCTGGCCATCAACCCCTCAGCAAAGTGCAAGACGGACATGACCGTGATGGAGGACGCTGTGGAGGTCAGGTGAGTCCGGCGGGGGCTGCTGAGGCCCAAACCTGGCTCAAGAGGCTGAGTGAGAAGCCACGTGAAGGTGGAAGGTGCTGGGAAAGGAACCCTGAGCAGCTGAATAGAGAAGGTCGCGGGCTGCCTTCCCGGTCCCCCCCACGCAGCGCCGGGATCCACTCTATCTGGATTGGTATTGCACACCCCAGGCTCAGACATGGGGAGAGGGTATGAAAGTGGAGCTTGTGTGCACTTCCCATGTCCCCCATGGACTGACAGGCAATCATTTGTTCATTTCCTCGCCCAGCTGGGACCTCCTACTCTGACCAGGCATCGTTACCACCTTGGCTCCGTTCCCAGATATGGAGAGTGTCTGTCATTTGTCAGTTCAAGGCTCAGAGTACGGTTGATCTCAGGTTTTTGCAGGAGAGAGTGAGACAGGACCTGATGGGCCAGGTAGGAACAAGGAATGGGGTCCCCATGGCGACTCCCCGCTCCCGCTGTCCTCCCCACAGGGAGGAGCTGATGACCTCGTCCTCCTTCGACAGCCTGGAGGTGCTCCTGGATTCCTTCGGGCCCGTGCGGGACTGCAGCAAGGACAACGGGGGCTGCAGCAAGAACTTCCGCTGCATCTCGGACCGCAAGCTGGACTCCTCTGGCTGTGTGGTAGGTCTGCCCGGGCGGGGTGTAACAGGGACGGGGCGCAGGATGAGACACCATGCGGACGGGTGGACGGAAATACACTGTGAGTGAAAGAGAGGGTCAAGCATAACCCTCCCTCCTTGAAACCGCCATCCAAACTATGAGCTTTCTTGTGGCAGAAGTGAGAAGCCAGTCACCAGTCAGGACGTCAAGAAGGATTTATGGCGCACCTGCTAGGTGACCTGCAGCTGTCCAAGGGACATCTCGGGACCTATAGACCGGGATCCTTTCCCATCTTGCAGTCTAGTGGGTGAGGGACACCCCCAAACCACTTGAGGACTAATTAACTGCTTGACGATATACTGTTGACTCTAATAGGAAATATGCTACACTTACTCATATAGGACATTTTGCAGGCAGAAGCCCTGCCTTCTGTCTAGAGTCAAATTACATTGATCGCAGTAGGAAATTTTAGGAGAAACCTGCCCAGGTAAATGACGCCAAGAATGGTAGAGAAAAAATTAAAATATGTCCCCCTTGAGACCATGACAGTGACCCCCTACTTTGCTAAAGACGGTTGTCTACTTTGTACCTGTGGAGACTTGGGCTGTGTGTAAAATTCAAGGGGCCAGAGAGGCTGTGTGGACTAGCGTGGACTAAGGTGTCGCCGGTGCCGTGAATGAAGCCTGTTGAACCGTGCGGGTAAATGGAGCTGGGAGCAGACAGAGCCGTCCGCCGCTGGGGCCTTCGTGTTGTCGTTTTCATGCCCACCACACTGATGCTGTTTCTAGCCCTTTTCCCCTTGAAGGGAAGGACGCTGCAGACCCCACAGAGAGGAGAGGGCGTGGGCAGAGAAGGAAGGCAGGAGAGCCAGGCATGAAGTGGGCACAAAGGAGAGGGAAGGGGTTTCACGGAGACCCTCTGCTCGTCAGTGTCTGCAGGCAGGGCCAGGAGCTCCCAGCCCTGAGGACGACAGGGGGCGTCGTCCTGCTTCCAGGTCCAACAGTGGTGCTCTCGGAAGGGGACTCGGAGCAGGGGCCAGCTGTGAGGACGCTGCGCCAGTCCCAGCACTCACACCCTGCTCTTCCCCGTCTCCGGGCACCTGCCCTGCTCAGGGAGCCTCTGTCCGTCAGAGCAGGACATGCGCCTGGGGCCCAGGTGGGGCTCTCTCCTCGAAACCCTCAGGCCTCGCCAACTTGCGCAGATCGGGACGAGTTCACAGGGGCCTGAATCATCAGAGCAGGGAGAGAAAGTGAAGAAAAGGGAAAGAAAGCAACTAAGTGGCAGGTCGGCAGAGAACCCGGCAGATCCGGGCTCTTGGGGCACACGCGAAGAAATGTCCCAAGGCAGCGGGGGGGGGGGGGGGAGGGTGTCAGTCCACGCTCCCCTCCCTGGGGCCGGTCCACTTCCCAATGTCTTCAGCAATGAGCTTCTCACCTCGGTCCCTCCGGAGACAACCTCACCGTCTAGTGAAGACCCAGCTGGGACACTTTTATTTATATTTTAGGTTTTGTTTACTATTCAGCCTGCATTTCTTTATCCAGGTTTCAGCCCGTCACTTCCCATTGCTCTCTTGGGTCGTTCTAAGTGCTAAAACACCCTTTTAGTGTTGTAGTGTGCACGTGCGTGAACATCCTTCCCTCCAGCACGCTCACGCACTCACGCCCATGCACACGCGCAGACTCTCTATCCCGCCCCCTCCGCCGCTCTGCCCCTTTCCTGAGGCCCTCAGGGTCTGCCCGCCAAAAGCCTTTTGTTGGCGATCTGGCCCCTTCTACTCGGCACAGAGTTGGGCTGATGGAGTCTTGTACTTTTAGCACTGGGATCTCTGGGGCAAGGCTGGCAGGGGCGGTCCTGATGCAGGTGCGTTCGCAGTAAGGATTGGAGCCACGGCAGAGGGTCGCCCAGTTATGCAGGGCTTGCTATTAGCATACTGTGAAGTCACTGGCCCACACGCTGTTGGAGGAGGCGGGGCTTGGCTGACTGGCAGGCCATTCGGTGGACTGTTTGCCCTTGGTTCTGAAGCACGGGATCCCCGATGCAGGCGGACTGATGGGCTGAGAGCTGATGGGCCGCGAGCTGATGGGCCGCGTCATGGCTCTCGTGACCCTACTGAGAAGTAGATTAGGGACTTGGCTTTGAGCTGACCTGACTCCCCTGGGCCTCAGTGCTGTCCTCAAGCTCAGTCGTGTAGCAGAGTGGGCCCGGAAGTCATCTGGAAGTAGACCCGGGACAAAGCCATCGGCTGTGCCAAATTGCCTTTGTTCTTTGTCTTCACACAGGAACCCTGCCATCCAGTTCTCTGGGTGCTGAACTGAAAGACAGCTCAGGAAAAGGCATGTGTTTATGGAAAGAGAGAGAGGAAGGACTGAGAACCCACGGGCCCTTCAGGAGCCTGGGAGAGGGTGTGGGAGGGGACAGCGTGCCTCTTATTCTCCTGTTGAACATGCGGTGGACTCGGGGGCTGCCAACCTCCCTTCTTTCTAGGAAGGCAAAACACGTTTCCCGTTCTGCATGGACTCCCACAGGGTTAATTGCTACCCAGTTAATTGCCCTATTGTTTATATGGCCTCTGAGGACAGGAAACAAGCACCCGTGAAAGTCACAGACCTGTACCAGCCGAGAGCCCTCCGTTCCGAACCAGAACACTCTCCAAAAGTGGGGAGTTGCCACCCCTTCAGGAGGCTTCCCAGAGCGGAAGTCAGCCCCCACTCCCTCCACTGATAACTGGGTCCTACTTCTACCCTGGCCCTCCTGTGCCGAGGTGAGAGCCGTGGGCCCTACCTGGAGAGCACAACAGTGTCCACTGTCCGTTCTGTGGAGCCCCACAGGGCCCTGCATAGTTAGTGTCCTGTTGCTGCTGCAACAAATTGTCGCAGGTTCAGTGGCTTCAAGTGACGCTCATTTACGTCTGTCTTCCAGCTCTGTGGACGACAGTCCGATGTTGGGTCTCACTGGGCCAGAATCAGGGTGTCAGCAGGACCATACGCCTTCCGGGAGGCTCTGGGGGTCAGTGCGTTCATGACCTTGCCTTTTCCAGCTTCTGGAGGCGGCCCGCCTTTTGTGGCTTGCGCGCCCCTTCTCCCATCCTGAAAGCCGCTACCCTGCATTTTTCTGACCGCTCTTCCGCAGTCCCCTCTCTCTTCCCTTCTTTGTCCCCTTTCTACTTTTGAGGGATTACGTGGGCTCACCTGGGTAATCCAGGATAATCTGTCATCTCAAGAGCCTGAACTTGCTCTGCAAAGCCCCTTTTGTCAAATGTAAGGTGACATGTTCACAGGCTCCGAGAATCACGTTACAGACATCCTTGCTGGCCATCAGGGAGAGAGGGCAGTGGAAACAGGAGTGGACTCGGTAGGCAGGACCGTGGCCCAGCCACTCCCAACTTTAGCCAATGCGTCCTTATTCTTATCAACCCTACCTACCAAAGATTAATATAAAACTTTGAGAGTTTAGAGCCCTGGCTGGTTAGCTCAGTTGGTTAGAGCATCGTCCTGATGCTCCAGAGTTGTGGGTTTGATCCCCGGTCAGGGCACAAACAAGAATCAACCGGTGGATGCAGAAATAAATGGAACAAGAAATTGATGTTTTTTTCTCTTCTCTCACCCTCGCTCCCTCCCTTCTCCTCTGTCTCTAAAATCAATAAAATAAAACGAGGAAGTTTTGAAATGATTTCCAGTGCTAAAACATAGTGGAATGCCTACTCAGGCCTGTTCCTTCCTCATCTTCACACTCATCCCGAGAGGGGCCCCGCAGGCCTTTGCTTTGCAACACATCTGCGTGTGCCCAGGTGAGCAGCTGCGCCTCGGAAGGCAGGAGGTCGCTCTCCAGCTGTCCCGTGTAGAACACGTGACCTTCCCTGCCAGATCATTACGCTCTAACGAGCTTTGAATTACCCAGTGACCCCGCCGCCCTTCTGTCCACATGCTGCCCACAGTGGCTCCCCACCAAATGTGTCATTTCACCTCTCCCGGAGCGCAGATGTGCAGAAAGCATGACAGATGACCCTCTCTCTTCTTCTCTGTGGGACGGGAAGCAGCAGAGTGTGCCCCAGAGACCCGCCGCTATGGGGGGGGGCAGGAAACTGAAACACAAATTTAATTCCATCACACTTCTCCCTTTGAGAGGTCATGAATGGCTCGGGCAGGCTTCCACGTCAGAGCTCACAAAAAACTCGGGAGATCACTATTTGGGGAAGGAGTGGGAGTACCATGCAGGGAAAGGGGGCATATTTGGAGTAGGGACGATGGTGGCAAGTTTTATGAATGGCCTAGGTAAGTTGAGGCAGGCTCAGGTACAGAGGGTGGCTCTTCTTCCGTCGCTCGTGCCCTCTGCCAACAGAGCATCCGCTCATCACCTGCACTCCGGTGTGTGTGTGTCTCAGGCTTGGTGACCTTGGACTAGACTCTAAAGTAAGTAATCAATCAACTCAAGGCCATTGGTAGAAAAGGACAGGCAAGATGGTGAAGAAAAGGAGTTGAATGGAGAAAATCATTTTAAGCTCATTAGCAAATTATGCCTCAGACCAGTAGTAAGTGAGGAAGCCATGAGCTTCTCATGAAAGATGATTAACCTTGTATATTTTAGGGGTCACTGAAATTTCAGCTCATTTATTAGACCTTCTTGATGGGGGGAAGGGTTATTGCCATGATACAGTGAGTTTCTCCTTGAGCCTGTGGTTTCTGAAGGCCCTGGGACTGCTTCATGGGACCTATGCGAAGAGAGGTTAATGTATGACCTTGAGGCTGGGACCAAGCAAACAGTTCTCTTTCAAGGGTCTGTCCATAGGGCGTGTGGGGCGGGGAAGGAGAATGTCCAGCAGCTGCAAAGACAAAAGACAGGCTCCTCTCCGCACCTGGGCTCCGGCTGCAGACACTTCTAGGAAGAGGGTTTGGTTTGGAAACTGCACATTCTCTGTGTTCAGATACAGGTTTTGAGGGGCCCAGAATGTGACTTACAAACAGCACAAGGAACATTAGACACAAAACAAGTTATACCACGGGACAATGGAATGATTGGACGGGGCATGGGGGTTCTAGTTCAAGTAGGGTTAAGAAGAAAATTCTATTTTCGGTTTCAGCTTTTTTTTTTTTCCTTGAAATCTTTCAAAATGTTTTACTCTGAACCACAGCCCGAGTCAGTCACAGGGAAGTCAAGATAATTGCATCTTTTTCAGCGATGGGGGATCCTGTCTTGCATTCAAGGTCATTGCTCTGGAGAGTTTTCAGTGTTTTGTCCTTAAATATATGCACCATAATTGGGGGGCAGGGCGGTCTGTCTGTGTGGAAGAGGAGAGAGAGAGAATATAAATACTGGACTGAAGCTACCAATCCATAATTGATTTCAGAATGGACTCCGGGAGTTTTGTAAAACAATCAAACAAACAACAAAGCTACAGGATTGCTTTACGTGGTTGACATGGTGACTTTATTTCTTTAGGGGGTTCCCAGGGGACCCAGGTTTTCTCAAACTCAAGGAGCAGTGTGGCCCAGTGGAAGGGCCTTGCGTGAACTTTGGGGTCAGACAGATTTAGGCCAAAACTCTGATCCCCACCTCTGTGACCCGACACGAGTTAGTACCTAACCTTTTCGAGTGTAAGTGCTGGCCTTCTGTCCAATGACCGGGACAAAAGTCCACCTGTGCTGTCAGCATTGAAGGTGATATGCGTAGTTTGTCCTGCATCAAGAATGGCTTAGTTCCTAAGAGCTGTTACTATTTTTTAACTTGGTTCATGAGAAAGGGAAAATCCAAGGCAGCGAACTTCTTTCCAAATCACCTAAGAAAATGCAAATATCAGGTGGCCCAACTGGGCACACCAATGTCAACTTAGACACCAGGGTCCGACAGGGCGTGGACATGCCAGATTTTGGGATTCTGCAACAAGGCCTGCTTGAGTTTCGCTGGTCTCTGTCCGCATCACACTTGATCGGGCATTCTGGAGCAAAGCAGGCAGCTGGGGAGACGGGGAGTTGGCCCGGCGGCGACCAGGCCAGCTAGCTGGCAGGAGGATTGAAACCACGTGAGGAGGGAAAACAGGAGGACTGGCTTTGTGTCTACTTTGATGATGTTGTCCAAGAAGAAGGAAAAAAAAACTCACGGCAACCCCACTGCCACCCATTAAATTCCAATCAAACGTCTGTTGCAGTCCCCACGTCCGTGCCTGGGCTGCCCCCTGGTGGTGATGCCAGCTCCCTTCTGGTGGTACATCTGGCTTAACACCAGGAAGCGGGTGAGCAGGGGGCTAACAACACGTGGGGTGCAATCCTCAGCTGCCTCATTTGCTTGTTTACCATCGTCTGGAACATCTGGGCTTGCCCGGCACGGGGCAGCCCTTGGAAACGTCTTGAGATGCTCTCACCTTCCGGCACACCGGCTGCCTTCAACGGGAGAGAGGGGCTGCACCGGAGCCTGGCAGGCCCACAGGAGGGCCGTTTGTTTGGGAAATTGCTGAATTAGTGTCAGGAAACAGTGTACACCCTGCTGAGATCTTCAGCTGGGATGCAGGGAGGACGAGAGGTGGGTTTTCGGGGCCCACCTGCGCTGCAGCAGCCGGGCTATTAGGTCAAGGTGCTTGGCAGCCGAGAGGAAGAGGCAGCCGGGCGACAGGACAGGAGGGCAAGTGTGTGGCTCTGTCCCCCCGAGTTTTGCAAGTCGCTTTTGGTTTGGTTTTGGTTTCGGAGAAGTGCGCTGTAGCTAGCTGACAGTACCCAGCACCGCCATTCAAAGCAGGCCCAGCTCTGCCCCACCCGCGCTGCCTGGCCCCAGGCAAGTTACCTGCCTCCTTCCAGCTCGTGGCAGGGAACCCGCTGTCCTGCTCATGCTCAGGACATGTGGCACAGACAGAAGCAGGATGGCCAAGAGTAGTCTCTGGCTCTTAGGTAGCATCCAGGGCAGGGAGGAGGCGCTGTGTTACTGGGCTATTGCTTTCCACGTCTGTTCCCTGAGGATAACAGGAGGTGCCATGAGAAGAAATAGCTACAGCTCCTAGCCGAGCGCTGGGGGCCTGGTAAGTGGTGAAGGGCAGCTGTGTGAGGGGCCCTGACCCTGGTGGGAGCCAGTGATGGGGCAGCCGCTGCGTGGGCTCTGTGTGGTCCCACCGTGACAGCAGTGTGGCTTTGGGGAAGTCATGCTGTCTGCGCTGTGTCTTCTCACACAAAAGGTGGGGGTGATCACACTGCTGGCCCCACGGGGGTGGTGCAGTGAGCAGGGTAAGGGAGGCAGACAGCACCCAGCGAGGGATGGGTGCCGTGTGAGGGCTCCTGCTGCCTACCCTGCCCCCCCGATTCTGTCCAACAGGTCTCCCGGGATCCTCTCCTTTGCTGTCATTCTTGGGAAGTTTCCTGAGGGTGTGGCAATGCAGAAAAGCTAACTGTCTCGCTTTAACAGTGTCCAGAGCACAGGGATGCAGTCCAAGCCCAAGCGACACACCTGTGGGTGCCCAGGTCCAGGTGCCATGGGGAGGGCGTCCTTGAGGCTGGGAGGTGGTGAGAGTGGCCAGTCCCACTAGGAAAGCAGTCAGACCACCCTACAAGGTCACAGAAGTCCAACCGTCTCCTTCTGGTTGGACGCCCTTGCTCCCTCTGTCTGCTCCTTCCGACACCGGTGTCTGGCACCGATGCTGACAAGGTGCTTTGGACACTTCAAACAAAGTCCTATCAATACTAAAGCCAAACAGCAGTGGCCCCTTGTCCTGTCCCAGGGGAGTCTCCTCAAATGGGTTTCCATTCTGGCCCATCAAATCCACGCTTCTGCCGGCCTGAGGCCCAATGAGGAGGCCAGCAGGCCTCGCTCTGTCTTGCCACCACACTCCCTACCAGCCTGTTGTTGGAATTGGCTTGAATGCAGATGTGTGTGACCTGTGCCCAGAGAGAAGAAGCAAGATGGCAAGAAAGGTCACTTGCTTTTCAAGGAAGTCCAGCGTGGTGCGGAATTTCGGCATTCTTTGCCAGTGTGAATGGTTTCAAGGCTGCGTGGTAAAATCGGGGTCAGGAGCTCCAAGCCAGTGTCCAGAGAACCCAGTCCCCCCGTTCACCCCTCCCATGTACATGTTTTCTGGTTGTGCCAGTGCCCGTCGGGACTCAGCCCCATGAAGGACAGCTCTGGCTGCTACGACCGCCACATCGGGGTGGACTGTTCCGACGGCTTCAATGGCGGCTGCGAGCAGCTGTGTCTCCAGCAGGTGGCGCCCTTCCCGGACGACCCCGCTGTGTACAACATCCTCATGTTCTGTGGGTGAGTCCAGTGGCCCGCGAGGCTGCCCAGGGTGCGGGGACGGGGGACGTTAGTGCCGACACTAGTGAAGACCACCGGAATAAACTGGTCACCCTAGGCCAGCCCTTGGGCTCTGAGAAAAGGGCCTGTGGGACTGGGAGAGGAGGGCTTTTCAAGACAGAGCAGGGAGGACCCTCAGGGCAGGTTGGGTCCCACCCCTGGAGATCAGGAACATGGCCAGAGTCTTGCCCGCAGACACTAGAATTTTCCAGCTGTGCACTGTGGGACTGTCAGTTAGGTGTTCTGTGACAGCCTTTCCGTGGTCGAAAAGCTTGGCAAGGTGAATGCCAACAGACAAGGGGGGGAAATCTTTGGAGGAGTGAAGGTAATTAAATTCTGCCCGCAAAGTCCCAGCATTCAGTGCACCCACCCTCCCCCCGACTAGTAAGTCCTCTGTGTGCTGAGCCCTGGTCTGTGGATCCACTCAGTTCCTTGGGGACAGTAGGGCAGGCAGTGCCGCTCCGTCTCACAGCTGAGAAGGCGGAGAAGGCACAGGGAAGCTGACCGCCGCCCCCAGGGCCGGGGAGCCGGCAAACGGGGAGACCGGGACTAGAATCCAGGCCCTCCTGGTGTTAACAAGGGTCTGTAGCTCCTTCAAATCGGCAGTTGACACCACTGACTGGAGTAATTTTTAATGACAGGTTCGTGTCAGATTTCTAAAGGACATTTGGGTCATTCTTCTACACCCCCAGTTTGCTTGTCTGACCTTTCGTCCCCTTCCCTGCTTCCCTCCCGCCCTCTCTCCCTGGCCCCCTCTCCCTGCCCCACCCCTTTCCTGCCTGTCAGGCAGAGTGCCTTTTTTATGCCACCACCCACGCTGGCCACTGGGCTGCAGTCACGGGTGACGTGTTGTTCTTGCCCTCAAGGACCTCACCATCTAATAGGCTGGCAATGAAAATCAATGTTTATGATAATAAAACCGTGTGAGATTGTTGCTAAAAGCTACTTCCTGCTGAACAATCATGAGAAGATTATTTGGTGGAATAGTAATGTTATTTTATTGTATTTCATTTTATTTTATTTCTTCGCAACCAAGCAATTTTCACATGCAGTTTCTTATAAAGTCCCATTCCATCAGTGGAAGCTTAATCTAAATTTTCATGTGTCTATAATATTATCATTGTGGTTGACCCAGTTCAATTAAAGGCAGTATATTCAGCCAAAGTTGCATGGCTTTATTTATTTGAGAAACGCATGTTGAGGCACCTAGGTTGTGCGGAGAACTGAGTTAGGTGATAGGTATATGACAGATAGCAGGATACGAGCCCTGGTCCCAAAGGAGTGTGTGTGTGGGGGGAACACATGGTCAAGAACACGGAGGGGAGTGGGGCTGCGGGGCTGTGTGGAAGGGGCAGCTATCCAGATGCTCATGGTGGACTGAGAGGGAGCCGGCTAGTTCCAAACTCCTGTCCAGAAACACTATGTTATGGCCCAAGGATGGAACCACCTCACTGTCCTGTCCTTGACCTACACTGGTGCCATAGAGTCTTTCGTGGGTCTCGAGTCACCTCTGTTGCCTGGACTAATGCAGTAGGTCCCTACCTGGACTTCCTTCACATTTCAGTCAGAATTCAGTGCATGTGTTTGTCACAGTTGACAAGCTACTCTATGTAGCTGGACAAAGAAGTCCTTGATTTGAGATTCCTCTATAAAGAACTAAGGACCAAGTCACAAGCACTTAGAATGAAAGAGCTCTTCTCACACTTGTTCCCACACACATGTAAATGGAAATGGGGAGAACAAGTAGTTCAAGTGCATTCACATGGGCCTCATCTGTGCCTCTGTGAGTCAGAACGGTAGGAACCTTTGGTGCTGTCTGCTAAGCCCGGCGCAAGTTCTGCGAGTTCATCGTCTCACGTAATGCATGTCTCACCTTCTCAACAACCCGGAGAAGCACTTTGACGGATGTGGAAACTGAAGCTGAAGAGTTTAATCACCTGGCCCAAGGTCACCCATAAAGGGCAGTGTCATGGCCATGCCAATATTGCTTCTCACCACTTAAAGTGATGCTTGTTCCTCCATATGGAGCAGAGTCTTCATCGTATTACAACAATTGTCACGCCACGAACATCCACAGAGTCAACGTCTCATGCGTTTCTACGGAGATGCTCAACGGAGATGCTCAAATTAAGTCAGTATGCTTTTTAAATGACAGCTTTATCAAAATAATTCTTACTTGAGCTAACAAATTACGGTCTTCTCAATGTAACCACAAATAAGGTCCAGTTAATGACTCACGGGTCTTGGACCCGTACGGACCAGCACCGGGATTGCTGTTCCATTAGCGAGACTGGACAGGCTTAATGGAGAGGGTGTCATGGAGGTCCGCACCCCAGGCCCTGGCGTCCGTTAGTTCCATGGGAGGGGGAGTTAACACGGGTAGACCCTGTGTTTGGATGCGTTCAAACAGGACACAGCCGGAAGATGATCAGTCCCCCCTAAGTCTTCAGTTGACTGGTCACCAGACCAGGTTAGAAGGTCATTCATTTCTTAAGCACGGCGTCTTTTTTTTTTTTTTTGCCTGTCTACTTACCCTCCAAACAAAGGTCTGGCCAGATAGATGGTTCTGAAGGAAGGCTCTAGAATATCCTGGATTTAAATGTCTTAGCTCATTCACAAGCTTTCTCTCCAGTGAGCCCTCCCCTAACCTTGGGAAATCAGGCCCTTAGAGGAGGACCCACCCCAAAGCTCTGAAAGCATTCACCTGCACAGGTAAGGTCAGGGGTTCAGCATGGTCGCATTGTGGGAGGGGACTTGGTTTACAGGCTTAAGAAACTGAGTGATAAAGGCAACAAAGATCAAATTGGGGTGTTCATAGCCTCTAGCCATTCAACACGCTCCGAAGGCATCTCCTCCCAGCCTGCTGGGTTGAGTTGACCGCTGAGCTTACGGATGGAGTAACTTCTCGACCTTTCCACCGCGTTAGGTGCATTGAGGATTACAAGCTGGGTGTGGATGGACGCTCCTGCCAGCTCATCGCGGACACCTGCCCCGAGGGAGGAGACTGCGGGGAGAGCCGGGAGCTGCCCATGAACCAGACCCTCTTTGGGGAGATGTTCTTTGGCTACAACAACCATTCCAAGGAAGTGGCCCCGGGGCAAGTGCTGAGAGGCATGTTCAGGTGAGTGAGTTTTGTGTCCACGGAACTGACTGTGCGGGGCTGTTGCTGGATCGTCTTCCCTACAGTCCTTCAGTCAGCGTCACGTTGTACGTCCTAGAGCAAGGCCGGCGTGGCCCTGAAAGGACAGGCCATGCCCTCGCCCACGGTCTTCTCCACGTCCATGTCCCTCCTTCCGGAGCCCGAGAGCCAGGCCTGCTCTGGGTGAGCGGTAAGGTGCGAACTACGTTTCTGTCTGGCCCAGGCAGGGACTGGACGCTTCCCTCTTCCCTCGGAGTAGAAGAATCAGTGCGTGAGTGAGTCTAGAACAGCGGCCCTCCACTGGGGTCCCAGGACTGCCGAGTGTGCCTGAGGTCCTTTCGGGGGACAGAGTCCTGCCTTTTGCAAATGCATAGTGGCCAGTCTTCTTCATACACTCCCCCCAGAACTATATATTGCAATAAGCTGAATGCAGAGGTGAGCATCACTCTGTCTTCTAAGTGAAACATTTAAAAAACTTGCAAAACATGTAACATAATGATACTCCTCTCATCATTTTGATAATCTGTGTTAATAGTTAATGGCTCCAGTGTTGACATTTTAAATAAACTAGTAAATAGTTTTATTATTCTTCAATTTCCTATAGGATAAGTGTTACTAGAGGGCAGTCCACATGAACAGAAGCTGTTTGGAGACCGCAGTCATTTTTGAGAGTATGGGGAGGTCCTACCGAATGTTTCAAACCATCACTTTAGACTGGTTCTGGGAGATGCTCCACTTGACCCCTGTTTCTGTTCGCTCTTCCTCTGCTGTCTGAATACGTCTTCCTCAGAGCTCATGCTTTCCAGGAGGCGATAATGATGGGGGTGAAAGTCTTGTAATACAGCCCCGCCTGGTGTGGCTCAGTGGATTGGGTGTCGTCCTGCAAACCACAAGGTTGCCGGTTTGAGTCCCAAGCACAGCTCCTGCCTGGGTTGCAGGTCCTTGGTTGGGGGTGTGTGAGGGGCAGTCGTCTCTTGCACATTGATGTTTCTCTCTCTCTCTTTCTCCCTCCCTTCCCATCTCTCTAAAAATAAACAAGTAAATCCTTTTTTTAAAAGGTGGTGTAACATGGACAAGCAGTTGATAGCAACCTGGGCCTATTAGACTCTCGTGAGCAAAATGATGGACAATTTCCAAGCCAGTTCGTGGAGCCGGTTGCTTTTTCTGTTACAGACAAGAGACTTGACTAGTGTTTCTAGTGTTTACCCTTTTAGCCTGGGGCGATGGCAGATAATGAGTGCCGTGCCCAGTCTTGTGGGGGCTAGAGTCATCTCTCTAGTCCAGAAATGACACCGCGAACAGCCAGCTCTTATGCAGAGGGGACCAGGGAGCAGGACAGGGAGGGGAGGAAAGAACAGTGTCTTTGGAGTAAACCTTTTTCATCTGCATATTCTCATCTCCCCCAGCCCTCACTGTTCCGCTCACACCCACATTTCACTCCGGCTGTGTACACAAGTGGGGTTTGGAGCAAGGGGAACTTTTGGTCCAGGGAGAAATTTTTTCACTGTGGAATTTCTGTCGAGATAGAGATTGCCCACCAAGGAGTGGGATTCTCGCCTGAGCCCTCCGGAATGAAGGCCTGTCTCTGTTTCCAGGCAAAACAACTTTGTTCGGGGTTTAGACCAGCAGCTGCCAGATGGTCTTGTGGTGGCCACGGTGCCCCTGGAGAACCAGTGCCTGGAGGAAATCTCGGAGCCCACCCCCGACCCTGACTTTCTGACTGGTAAGTGCACCTCCTGCTGCAGACACTGGGCCGCTCCCCGTGGGCCCAGAAAACCCGGACTCTCGACCTCACACATTTTGGTTTCGAAGCCAGCAGGTTCTTTAGAGCACAATAAAAGCACAGTCCTAAAACTGAACCCTGGCAGGATTATTTGTCAGTAAAACTGCCCATATTATCATAAACTCACCTGTAAAGTGCTCATCATAGTATCTCTTCCTGCTGGTCTCATTGGGAGGCTTTGAAAACAGATGGGACAGTCGATACGTAAAAGTTCAGAGTTCGCAGCAGGTTAGAGGAAGTGACCGGTGGTAGGAGAGGTGGAGGGAAGGTGGATGCTGCTGTAGCCTGAATACCCACCATCGACAAGTATTTATGGAGCAGGGTATTCGGGGCCCTATCATGAGGTGGGAACAAAAACACCTGCCCCCCCCAGTGCTGTTCTGAGCCCCGGGGCATCTTCCCCTGCGCGCATTGTGGACCCGAGGGATGGGAAGAGGCAAGCACCTCAGGGGCAGCGTCTTTCTGTGCCTCTAAAGACCTCCAGTTCACACCTCCTGGGCCAGAGATGGACGCTTCAAAGGGTTCCAGGGACCCGTAGGAGGCAACTCTCCAGGAACCCGGCATCATGTGCTAGAAGGCCGAATACAAGCTCAAGTCCATTACTGGCTCTGTTCATTTCTCCATTACGTGTCTTCCTCATTCTACGTCTTTCTTATTTTTTACCTCTATCTGTCTTTTCCTTCCTTTTCTGAGAATGCATTGTACTGAGGGTAAGCCTCTTCCAGACAGCAAGTTATGTTCAGACTTTTAGATTAGACCTGGATGGGATTAGAAACAGTTCTGTCTGAAGTAGCAAACACAGGGGTGAACAGCATAGGCTCTGGAGCCACACGCCCGGGCCCACTCTTCCCTGGCTGTGTGATCTTGAACAAGTTGCTTACCTTCTCTGCGCACCGCAGATTTTTTACCTGTAAAAAAAAAAAGGATACTATCCTGTCTTTCTTATGGGATTGATATGAGGAATAAGTTAATTAATATTTGTAAAGTTTATAGAACAGTTTCTGATACACAGTGAGATATATGTTTGTTACATGAATAAATATGCCAAGTGAGAAAGAAAATGTGCCCATTTGAACTACCAAATAGTGTTTTCCCTGTAGGGGAAGGAGAAGGGAGCAAGAGAGAACAAAATTAGATGTATTTGGCCCAGAAATAAATCTGATCGAAGTCAGTTCCCCTCGAAAAGACACACACACACACACACACACACTCACTCACTCTCTCTCTCTCTCTCTCTGTCTCCCCCCCCCACTGAAAAATCGCCACGCAGACTCCAGACACGCCCCTACAGCCTATGTTGCTGGTGCTGGGGAGTCTCATGTCTCGTTTCCATTTTCTTTGCTAAGAAACACTTGCCATGCGTTGCATGTGTGAAAGACCTTGTAAAGGAGGTGTGAGGTGCACACACAAACGGGAACTTGTTGTGGAGGTGAGAGACTTTCCTTGGGTCCCCAGGCAGGGAGGACACAGAGGGGCCCTGAATGCTGCCTGGGGCTTTTGGGGGCGGAGCGGGTGGGTCTGTGTGAAAACATCAGAACACGTGTTCGGATCTACATCCCTGAAAACAGGAAAATATACAAATTCAGGTGTCCACCGCAACAGAAACTTCTTTCTCCCCATGCCCTCGGACCTCACCTAATTGGGTGCACTGGGGCAAAAGAATTCATAGGGGTCATTTCCGTGTTCCTGGCCTTGAGAGAGTGAAGTCCAGTGTTTCTAAGAGTGTCAAGGGAATTCTTCTTGACCCGCTACTTTGTCAGCCAGCCTTTGTTTTTAACCTGTTTTGGTTAAGGGGTTTCCTTTAGGCCAAGAACTTCCCTTTGATGTACAAAGGAATCCGTCTCAGCTGTTTAAAGCCCAGAGTAACTAGAAGAGTCCATGCAAGAGGTGGTTGGCCACCTTTCTTCCACATTAACTTCCTAGTTCTGGCCACATTTTACTTGCGTCTTTCCTGAGAGCCATACAGGGACTATCACACTTAGTCTGATGATGGTGCCATTTATAGGTCATAATCCCCATAAACCTACAAGCTTAGAAGATTTTAGAGCTAAAGTGATCTTCAGAACCTTCTCTATCAGCATTCCCAAGCATTGTTACGTGAAGAAACAGTGCCTCAGTCTTAAATACGTTCTCTCTTCGGCTGTATTTGGACAGACTGTAGTAGGCACCTCTTGGGCTTATAACACCTTAGCACACAACAGGTTCCAAAAAATCCTGCAGTAAAGAAAGAAAAAAGCCCCTTTTACTTTATTTAACCCAGTGGTTCCGAAACCCATGGAGCCGGAGAGCCCTTTCCCACATCCTGGCTATTTTCATCTTTCAGAATTACTGGTTGGAAGACATGCTAGAAAATATTGATTTATGTGTTTTATCTTGCTGATTGCTTCCCTCTTTATCAAAATAAGAGTTAAGCACTCTGAGCTTCACCGGCCTTTCCAGTATTATAAGCTATGTGGAAACAAATGAGCTCTTCATCCACAGCCCGCTCTGCCCCAAGGGAGCAGGCCGAGTCGCAGAGACTGGCGGGCAGGTGGAGGAGTGGGAGGGCGTCAGAGTGGAGAAGGGCAGGGCTCAGGCGCGCCCCGGTGGGCGTTGTTGGCCACAGGTAGGCCAACGAACCAGCTAGTGCAGCGTGCTGTGTACGAGTTGGACCTACACTGGAAGCAAGAAGAAAACTTGGGGATCTCTCAGTTATTAATCAGGTGCTGATTACCTCGAGCCAACCTTTACAGCTGTTGTTACTCTTTGGCATCTGGACTGGCTGCTGGAGATAGTGGTCTGACTCCTGACAAATGTGATGTACAGACAGATAGTAGATAAGCTCCTTGGGATGACGACTGTAGGTAATGAGGGGTGTGGTTCTGGGCCCATTGTGCAGATTCTGCATATTCTGCATCAGAATTCTGTTTTTGTATGTGGTCTGGCCATCATCCACTGGTGTTTTCAGTCTCTTCATTGAGAAAAAAGGGAGAGAGTGGAGGGGCAGGCCAAGGAGGAAGGGGAGGCCATGGCCACAGCTGGGGGCCTGTGGACTAACACAGATGCTAAATCGATGTGAAGATTTTGAGCTCTGCGCTCTTTGGAACTTCTTCAAGGTCAACCCAAGGAAACAGACTTCAGAATTCTGGTGACAATACATCCCCCTGATATTTCAAATAAATAACAGGAGAAAGCTTCCTCCCTCTCTCCCTCCCTCCCTCCCTCCCTCCCTCCCTCCCTTCCTTCCTTCCTTCCTTCCTTCCTCTTCCCTCTTCCTTCCTCTCTCTCACATAAGTCTATTTGGTCATTTTTTTCCAAGTATAACTCAGGGGAAAAGTAATGTTTAGTCTCGAGAAAACACAGCCAGAAATATTTTGAAAAAAAAATAGTCATTCAGAAATGTATTCCAAATAATAATAAAATTGAATTAAAAAAAACTAGAGCTGACTTCAGGCCAAGGGCACACTGAGAAAGAACTCTGTGACTCAGCTGAAAAATATATCTACTTTACAATATCCCTTTCTTTGTAAATAATGGAAATATTATCTCTAAGTGGGCACAGAACAGCACCTGCCGAGTGTCAGCGGTTATGTAACCGTGACCCTGACTGTGCTCCGGCACAAACGCATTAAGCAGAAGTGCTGTTTAGCAGTTTCCTGGTGCAGGCGGCTCGCCTAGGTGAACCTGGGGCACTCATTTCATTCCTTCCTATGTTCATGCCGCCTTTATTTTTTTCTCCAACTATTGTTCTGCACTGAAGCCTAGGAATCTATAACAGAAGCATCAACTAAGAAATGCCAAGTTCACATAATTGGGGGTGACGAGAGAGAGGGGAGGAGGAGGAGGAGGTAGCATCATTTTGGAAGCTGTGTGTCTACGTGGTGCTTTAACTTTTCTCAACATCCTTCTGTTCCCGTACAACCTGCTGTAAAGCAGGGGAGATGCCTACCATCAGCCTATTTTCTGGATGTGGAAACCGACACGGATGAGTTTCCTCGCCCAAAGTCACACAGCTGATTGGGGTCACCGAACCGAAAGGCAGGAGTAGGTCACCCCACCTAAGCCTCTCACATTTATAGAGGAAACAACTGGGGTCCGAAAGCTTCACTAGCCCCGGGGCCAGAGAGTGAGCTCAGGCCCTTGACTAGTAGCCAGAAACTGCCCCCAACCTCTGACCCCCGACCCCTGAGACAACATGGCCAGTGGCCAGCATTAGAACCCTAGCATCTTGCTTTCTTGCTCTGTCTCTTCCCACTGAGAAACAATTCTATTAAAGGAAACATTTTCTGATACATTGAGAAATCTTTATTTATCAGGCTGGCTATTATTTTTCTGACCACACTTTTGGAAATCTCAGCAAGCCGATCAGCTGCTGTAAGTAGAGTGCGTGTGTAGTGTAGAACAGTTTCCCAAAGCTTGACCAGTTCGTGCTCCAATGAAACAGGCCTTTGGGGCATGAGACTGGAGCCTTACACTTGTAGAAGCAGAATTGCATTTACGGGCCCTGAAAATTAACATCAAGGTTAAAAGCCAGCATAGGTATGGTATGACGGTTGTCACGAAAGTTTGTCCTAAAAGAACATTTGAAAGAAAAAGTACTGGAAACCTTTGCCAAGTCTTCGGTAACTTATCTTCTGATTGACGGAGGTGAAATTTAAGTAGCTGATTCACTCAGCCCCTCTCCTGACCTTTTTCCCCTTTTGCCTTACCGATAATTGTTCCCATATGATTCACACAGAAATGGAAATGCGGTGATCGCTCAGCTAATTTGATCAGCGTTGACAAGCAGCTAATTAATCCCACCCACTCTTCATCTAGTTTCAGTATTAAATTAGTGGATTTAGGCTGAAGGAAGCATGGGTCAAAATGGCAGGGTAACTCCCTGTGTATGCATTATTGCCAATGTCTTTATAGGCACACTCTCTGCATATCTATCCATACTGTCTGGCCATTATATTTGCATATGTACATACATACACATAGTCGTATGCATATATCTATACACTTATTCCTGCAATATATACATAGCAAACATTAGGCATAAAAAGGAAGCTAAAATTGGTTTTCTAAACTTAGCAAGGTGATTTTATTTTTAACTTCCTGTGGCCTAATTATTTTGTTTCAGTTGCATTTTATAGAGATGGCCAGGACTCAGATAAGGGGCCCCTCTCTCTCCACACTGCTCCACTAAGAACAGCCCGTTGTAACATCGCGAGACCTTGAACGAGTGGCTGGGGTTTGGGAGCCTCAGTTTTCCCATCGACAGGAGGGAGGGCCCCAAGCAAAGTGTCTGTTGCCCAGCCTGGCATGTAGACGCCCCTCACTGCAGGGCCATCCCTGCCCCTTAGCTGAACTGACACTGTCCCTCCAGGTAAAGAGGAAATGAGCTTATCAGTTTCAGAGTAATTAAAACGTAACTACTGATCACAGGTCAGTTAAGTGGAACAGAAAAATCAATGTTATCAGGTACGTGAGCCGAGGCAATTACTGCAACTATGAGGGGGAGCAAAGATCTGGGGTGTGAAGGAAGCCTAGTGTGTTATACAAATTTGGTAGCGGGATATCACAGTGGAAGGGGCAGGGACCCCAGCCCTGCCTCGGGTACACCTGGTGGCCCAGGGCCCTTCCACAAACGCCGTCTCTGAGCCTCAGTCTCCCCATCTGTAAAATGCACACGAGGATCCCTATCACACAACAATCAGCTGAATTTACACAAGCAAAGTGCTAAGCAAAAGGCCTGGTGTAGAGAAAGGGCTCTGTAAGTAAGAGCCGTCGTTACTGTGATTCCAGAAGTTCCCTCCCTCAGACCGCCTCCCTGAGACCCCCTCCAACCCTGCAGGTTGGGGCTCGGGAATCGGTCGCACATGCCCAGCCCGTGTCTCCTCTGCCCCCAGGCATGGTGAACTTCAGCGAGGTTTCCGGGTACCCCGTGCTGCAGCACTGGAAGGTGCGGTCTGTGATGTACCACGTCAAACTCAACCACGTGACCATCTCTCAGGGTGAGTGCAGCTGCAAGCCGTCCCTGCTGCCTGCTCCCGGGCGTGGAGTCCCTCTCCAAGGGCACAGGCCTTCGACTCCACTGTTGAAGCTGCAGCCTGAAATGTACCTACCCTCATCACTTCACTCAGATGCACTCTGATGGGCAGATGGCCGGATTCAGACCCTTGCTGAGGGTAGATTAAATTGCAAGTTTTATTTTAGATCGTAATTGGAAAGGGCAAGGCAGGGGCCACCGAAGAGAAACAGGTGCTTTATCCCTTTTTCTGGGCTCACCTGGTATGGAGACAGCACGTTCAAAAGCAGACTTCCTGTAAACCGGTAGAATAAAACTTCCCAAATTCAGTGAGCGCAATGTGGGGGTTCCACACAATGAAGGGAATAAGACAAAGAAGCAGGGAGGAGGGAGGGAAAAATGGAAAACAGCTTACAATTCCTAGACAGCACGTAAGCAAAACAGATTACAGATGGACGGACAGACAGATCTAGTCAGTTACGGTGGAGTGAATTTGAAACTGGGGACAGATTATTCTAGAGCAGGACAGTGAGGTGCCTTGTACAAATATTCTTCAAAATTTAGTGGTAGATGCCTTGAATCAAGGTATTTTTCCCCCCTAGCATTTGAGCAATTCCACTTTGCCAAAGAGAAAATTTCTGCAAATATGGCCTTAATGTAGGTTTGTGTCTCCGTCCCACCAGACTAGGGGAACATGACTCAACCACCACCTTCCTCTGAGGCCACCGAAGGAAGGTACCAGATCTGACGTTTATGCTCCAGAGTCTGGCTGCTCTGTGGTGGACAAAAGACTAACTAGATTCAGACGGTGTTGTTGCCACAGGAGGACGAGACAACAGAGTGGCCTTAGGGTCAGCAACAAGAAGGCAGAGCATGGGGCCAACAGGAGAGGGGGTGGGGCAGAGAGACAGAGACAGACAGACAGACAGGGGAGAGGAGAGGCCAGATGAAGAGCATCGAAGACCAGTGAGACATAAACCAACAAAAGTTGAGGCTCATGCATACAGAAGGGAAATGCACGAAGGACAGAGAACACCTCTGGAGGACAGGAGAGGACTCAGGACTTTTTTTTTTTTAATCACAAAAGAATTCTTGGCAAGAAGAGATTGGGATGGGGATCTTATTGAAGTCAGCTCTGCTGGTGCAGAGAACCCGTGAAACTAAGCCACCCTCCTCCATTCAAGAGACTCCAGCAGTCCGGACCCTCCCAGCACAGGTGCTGTGTGAGTCCGGGGCTTGGCACTCAGATGCCTCCGTTGCCACGGAGTGCCTTCCCTAGCCATGCATGGCCTCATGGGTAACGTGGACTTGTGCACTTGGGGTCTCGTGCCTGGACCAGGCTCTGGCTCTTTCTATTAGGACACAGGTGTGGAGGGCCATGGGAAAGCAGGGCTGTGGAAACCTGGCCAGGTTCAGCAGACTGTCTTTCGGACAAATATAATTCTTAACCAGGGAGCGCAAATCTGGGGTAGGCTCACTCCCACATACACGCACCAGAAGTTCCAAGAAGTGATGCTTCATCTTGTGATGTGAAATGTTCTCTGCTGGTATTTGTTTCTATTTTAGACTATGCTATTCTTTTTCCCTTTTTCTCCCCCAAATGCTATTATTTGAGCTCACTAAATTGATTTAATGTCATGACTTGTAATTTGAAGAAAAATGGACTTAAGCAGGAGGGGCAGATTTGGGAACGTTTTGCTTCACTTGCACAAAGTTAACAACATGGCCAACTGGCTCAGAGAGATCATTTATTGAGCAACTAAAAGTCTGATTTAGCTCAATGGAAACACTCACCCGGTAGTCAGTCCCAGCCAGCTCTGCAGTTCACGGTGGGCCACGCGGGATGTCCCCTTCGGGGCTGAGTGGCCTGGGAATCTGGGAGCCCCCCTGGGAGTCCTCACCTTATTCTTGGCGGGTGTCTCTCCATAGCCCTCAGCAACGCCCTTCACTCCCTCGACGGGGCGACATCTCGTGGGGATTTTGTGGCCTTGTTGGACCAGTTTGGCAACCATTACATCCAGGAAGCTGTCTACGGCTTTGAGGAGTCCTGCTCCATCTGGTACCCAAACAAGCAGGTCCAGCGGCGGCTCTGGCTGGAATATGAAGACATCAGCAAAGGTGAGTGGCATAGGCGTCGACAGGTTTGACACCCAATCCAAGTCCAGGCGGCCTAGGTGCAACAGGACCGAACTGAAGCGGCCTCTGCAGGTGAGGGGCAGTGCCAGTGTGGCCCGGAGGCTCTCCGCCCATCCTCAACGCTGCCAAGGTTTGGTTGCTAAAACCCAGTCTCCACATGCAGGTGTGTGGGGGAAGGGAACTTCAGATGCAGGATGATGCCCACGCTCTACGGTCATCGTGTTAGTTATAGAGAGAGTCCTCCTGAGGTTGTTACCAGCCTCCATGCTACCATAGCAACGGCGGAGTAGAGAAGGAGGAGCTACCGCAGCGTCCCCACTACTTCCTTAGTCCCACAGCCCCGCCCCTTACTGCCCGGCGAGCCCTGACAGCACCTACCCAGGAGACCCCTCCTCGCTCCCTCCTGCCCTGCCTTTGTGCCCATTTTTCCTACTGGTGCGCAGACTGTGAGGCACTCTTCAGTGGCTCCAGATTCCAGCCTCACAGATAAATCCTTGTCCACTGTCTGACGGCAGATTACTATTCGGTCCAAGTAAGTGTAAGAAATCGGAGTTTTTCATTCCTTCTGCTAGAGCAGGAGTGCCGGGTAGTTCGTTCATGCGTATTCTGTTCGAGCAGGACTGGTTTGGAGTTGCAGTTCCCGGCCTTTCTTCTCCCGAGCTACCCCTCACAGCATTCTGATGAGGCCACATCATGGGGGCGTAGGTTGCTAAAGTGATGAGATTAGCACCGTGGAAACTCAGGAAGTAGGTCATCCTAAGATTTAATGATGGAGGGACTGGGGACCCTCTGCTGCCAGTAGGCTGCAGTGGGGGAGATGGCCCCCCACGGCCGAGATGCGCTTGGCTCCCTGTGCTCCACGCAAAGCCCTGTTTGGTCTTGCTCAGGAAAGAGCAGAGCCCTGAGCGTGCCTTCTGGCTCCTTTCTTCCTGAAGAAGCAAAAGGCTTATGTCTGCACTCTAGTCGCTGCAGATTTCCCTCCCCCCACGCAAGCCCTGATTCCTCTAAACTCAAAGGCACAAGCACAGGGTTCTGGTAACTCTTCAAATTTCAGCATCTTAAAATTGTTCTGCCAAAAAAAGGAGAGTATCAGAAGTAAATATAGATAAGACCGGTCACAGCCGGCAAAGCTTTCTCATGTTTCCGTGCCATAGCCCAGGGATTCCACCAAAAGGCTAAATCCTCGTGGCCTTTGAACTACTGGCCTTTCCGATGAGGCCAGTAGTTCGAGGGTTGCCTGTAGGTCAAGGGCTGCCTGTAGGTAGGTCAAGGGTTGTGTGTAGTTCAAGGATTGGCAGCCACTGGACTGCTGGGAAGTGAGTCTGACTTCCCCCAGAACACCAGGTTCTCCCCTTGCCTCCGTCCCCAGCATTGCAGTGTCCTTGAGGTTCAACACAGAGCCCAGGAGGGAAATCTGCCCGTGGCCTTGGCCCCATGCCCTACCCTTCTTGATCTCAAGCCACCTTGCCACTGAGGACCTAGATTTGTCACAGTCCAACAGTGAACTTTAGCTCTGGTGTATATGACCCCTTGCTTGTTATTGACCTTAACCGATAATGAAAAGTATTAGTATTTCTATTTTGATCTGTCTTAATTGTTCACGTACACCACTGCCCATCCCCGAGTCTTGTCTCTGCATCTTGGTGTTTATCATATTGTTTGGCCTGATTTTTACTCTTCAGTGTTGTTTTCCTCCCTAAGCACTCATTCCATTGTATTCCAGAAGCCCGCATGAAGACATGCTACTGGTAAAGAATTATAAGTGCATGAGACAAAGGAAGGGTTTCATCTGCAGGCTGAGAGAATTGGCGCATAGCAGGGTTTATACGCTGGGGGAGACAGGTGTTCCGAGGGAGCTCTACCTACCATGGCATAAAAGTGACACCTTTTTGGACGCGAGTCCTTTGATCACATTTGCTTGCCTGCTCTAACTTTTAAAACCTTTTAGTGGAAAGGATTTCTCTGTTCTTTTGAATGTATGATCAGATTCCTAAAATTGCTTATGAATAGAGTAGGCACAGAGGTTTTCAGGCGTGAGATGAAATGGAAAAGCACAGGACTTCAGGGTCAGGACTCTAGAATCTTCCAGGTGACCTCTGTTTAGCCAGCTGACTATCAGGATCTCATTTGCTATGCCCTTGGTGGCCCTGTCCAGCTCTAATAGTTTATGGGTCCTTATGAGTCCCCCGCTTTATGTGAGAAGCTTTCTAGGACAGACATTTGATTAAAGATTCCCCTCTTCTCTCAACGAATCGCTGCAGAACTCATTTGCTCTAGCTTCACTCCCCCAGGGTCTAGACCAGAGCCAGGCGCAGGGTGAGGACTCAGCAATGGTTTATCGTTGAAGTTGCCACTGCTGGTGCTGGTGCTGGTGCTGGTGGTGGCGATGGCATCAGGGAGGGGAGTGCGGTTGAAGGCCCTTCTGGTGTGGTGACGGCCTGCGTGGATATCAACGCAGGCTCGGGGAGAAGGTTTTAGTTACTACGCCTGACTGTAAACGACGGGCATTTTGGGCTGGATGTTGAGAAGGCCACTTTTGATGCAACGGGCACTTCTCTGTCATATTGTCACTCAGTGGTTCAGCCCTGCCTCCTATGTGACAACAACCATCTCTAGACAAGTCTGACTGAAGTCGGAAAAATGGACTTTTGTTTCTCATGGCCTGCCATTAGACCATCTTAATTATTTTTTTAATTAATTATTTTTTATAGTGCAAATAAAGACTACAAGAAGAGAAATTTTCCAACCTCCCCTCTCTCCACTTCTAAATTTACATATATCTATAATGTATGTATGTATGTATGTACACACACACACATATATATCTCTTCTCATCATTCCTTCTCTTTAGGGTGACCTACGCCCCTGTCCACTTGTCCTCTCGCTCTCTGCTTCCTCATCAACCTCACTCATTAGTCTCCTCTTCGTCAATCTCTCCTACTTCTTCAACCACTGAATTATCCCTTCCTCAGCCTTACAGCTTCCATCCAAATAATATTGTTATAAACCTGCGATGCTTACCACTGTTTTCTGTCAACATGTCACCATGAGATTTCTTGAGCAAGTCGATTGTGTCTTTTCTGTCCTTCTTCAACTTCCTTTCACTCTTCAAATTCTTTCTTTCAACCTCTTCACTATAAGGAGATAACAGTGGAGAAGGGAATCAAGGTTTCTTAATCAGAAGTTCATGCTTCTGTTCATTCTTCTTGGCAGAAGAATTTGTCCCTCTTGCCCGGGTCTGCCTTCCTGAAAATTCTCTCTCCTGCCAGTCTTCCGGATGCTATCCTGTTAAGATTGTCTTTGGAAATCATCTCTGTCTTTCTCTCACCATTATTTCTCTAAAGTTCTTGTTTAGATTTTGGTCACTTTCCAAAATGTTATATTTTATTCTTAATGTTCATCTGTTTTTCGCTGTTTCCGAGTGAGTCTTTTCTCTGTCTACCTCAACCTACCTTCTAAGTCTTTTCTTCTCCTTAAGATTCAAAACCTCATTTGCTCCTGAGGGTTCAGCGTTTCTACTGCATATTTGCAGGCACCTCAGTGACAGGCACCTCTTTTCTCTGTGACACTAGCAGGGTCATGACCTGCATGGCTGGGTCAGAATGTAATGTGGGGAGTCGCTCTTGCTGCTCTTCTCCATCCTCCACAAGCGACCATTTCTGGTTTGATAGCAGCTAAGTGTTCCCTCCACAGGTGTCTTCTCCTACTTCCCAAAACCATACACATTTGCAGTGTTAGCGCTCACAAGGAGTGTGGCAGCAGCATCCTGTGTGTCTCCTCTTCCTCACTGTCCTTCCTCTGTAGTCCATTCTACGTCTTCCCATTTGCTGTATTTTTTAAATGCCACATAACGCTGCGACCGTTCAGCTTGAAGCCCTTCACTAACTCCGCACTGCCGTCTCGGCATGAATGTGACCTCACTTCCTGTATGCGTTTTTGATGTTTGCTGTAACAAATGATTACCAACCTGGGGCTTCAAACAGCATCGCTCATTCTCTGACAGTTCGAGGGGCCACAGGTCCAAATCAGTTTCAATGGACCAAGCTCAAGGTTCCAATAGAGCTGGTTCCTCCTGGAGGTGCTGGGGGAGAATTCCTGTCCTTGTCGTTTGCACCTGCTGGAGGCCACCTGTAGTCCTCGGCTTGCGGCTCCTTCCTCCATCTTCAAAGCGCATCTCTCCAATCTCTGAGTCACGTGGCTTCGCTGTCTAACTGATTCCTCCTCCAAGGGCTCTTTTGATTATGCTGGGCCCACCCTCCTAACCCAGGATAATCTTTCCCTCTCAAGACTCTTAAGTGTTTTACTTTAAGAGTCTTACTTTAAGCACATCTACAAAACCCCATTTGGTCACTGACAGGTAACAGTCACAGGTTCCAGAGATGAGAACTGAGCATCTCTGGGAGTCACTCTCCAGCCCACACGTCCTCCGTCCCCTCTAGCTGCTGCGTCACTGAGCCCTCCACCCCGAGCACCCTCTGCTCTGGTGGCCCCAAGGCCACACTTACCATCCCTCCCAAACCCTTGCATTTGCTTCCTCCCGCGTTAAAGCCTGAGGCTCGCTCCCAGCCCCAGGCAGAGGCCATAGATATGCTCTCTGAAGTCTCCGTAACTACTGTGTCTCATTCAGAAACTTTCCCTTGGGACCCCCTCTTGCCTTCCTCTTGGCCCCCCTTTTTTTTCTTTTTTGACTGGTGCGTGTTCTGTTGTCCCATTTCTGGGACTATTTTCCTCTCTGTTTAGTCTGTTGCGGTCAGCACATTGGTCTTCCTGGCCAAGATTTCTGTTTCTCACTTGCATTTTTTCTCTTTCCCCCTTTAGCTCTATAAATTTGGCATTTGCAATTAAATGACACCCCGTCCCAGTGTCAGGCCCCAGCCCTGGGTCCAGGATCACGGTGTCACCTGGTTTGGAAGGGGACATTGAGTCTTCTCCACACTTCTGAGCCTTGGTGCGTGTCGCCTGCCTAAACTTGTCCTCTCTTC